CCTAAATTGCAAGAGTTAAAATATGTTTTAGATACAATATATTGTTAAGAACAAACAGTATCTCTTAGTATTGAACAACAGTTTGTGTACACTTCAAACGAATACACAAATCGGTATTGTTGGATGTGAAACGAACCAAGTTTTAACAAATGCTTGTCCCGAAGTTCATGTGGACCAATATTTCATGACTGGACAATGTTTAAATCTGTCTACGTCCTTGTTAAACTTCATTCTCTCTCATGTCAAATGGTTTGATGAACGAGTTAGTTTTTTTATTACAATTTCACTAGCGGTAGTGGTGTCTAATGTTTTATTACTCAAAACAGAAGTATCATTTTTTCATTTATTGGTAGTTATATAGTATTAAGTTTGTCTAGCAATTGTGTTCTATCGACCCAGACACAACAAAACCTTTTTTATGATATCTAAAGTGTACTGCTTATGGCTGATTCGCTGATTGTGTGGACGACCCATGGTTTCAACTAACCTAATGATCAAGTTATCAAGGTGAATACTAGCATTTATTTGTTTGCAATCAGTATTCGCGTTGACTATAGGTATATACGTTCCGTTAACATGTTAAAGTTGAAAATCTATAATATTAAAACGAAACAGTGTTTTTTTATTTCACGATTCTGAATCAACCACTCGACGGATTTACATGATTTTTGTGTTGAAAGAAAGATAATTTTGAGAACTAGGGAATGTCGAAGCCATAATTTTAGTTTTGGGTCCCAGTTTTTTATAAATTAAGTTTTAATTTTTAAAAAGTCTAGCAGCCGACGCTAAGATTCTAAACTAGCTTTCGGCATAAAAAAATTTGCTTAATATAACAGCTGTAAACATTCAGCTTTTGTGTCACAAATTCAGCATTTGGATAAAAATGTAAAGACATACTTAGCGTTGACTTATTTATACTATGTGTAATGCTAATCATTGATACGTTCAATTCTTCTGTAAGAGGATGACAGGATTAATTAAATATACATAGTAAAATACTAGGATGTTCAAAATATTTTTTAAAGCAATCTTTATAATATTGATTTGTTTTAGAGCAATATAATTTGTTTTAACTAACAGCTGGTTAAATATAAACTATGGAACTATGAGGCTATTTTATTTACTCTTATTTTTTCATTGATTATAGGAAATAAGTCAGATTAGTAGATATAATTAGACCACAGATTAAAATAGTTTGGACCAAAATTAATTAAACCACAGTACAAATTGAGGCTCTGTACACGAGCCTAATAAAAAAGGATAAATGCAAATTATTTTACTGCTCCACTTTTCAAGGAAAGAATAGAAAAATAACAATGTTTACATGTTTTATGAAATCGTGTTGAGTTGTGGTTACGTTTGGGGGTGCCTAAAATATCAATTTTATTTAAACTATGAATATATTGTAGTTTAAATTAACTAATATGGGAAATTACGATGTACATTTATTCAATGAGGGTGGGTAATTATCAAGGATAAAACTGATAACGGTATGGATAATAAACATTGACAATTACGTCATTAGCTTTACTAGCGTGTTTACTTTTTATATTCCTGCTACATGTGACCAGTTCTTTTTTTCAAATGAATGTTATTTGAACCAAACAGCTGTTTCAAAACAAATTGTTATTGTTTTTACTTTTCTTCGATTAGACTTATTTATTTAGTAATTAATGCAGTGAAATTGATACAAAGGATAGGTGTGACGATTAGTTTGATGTTAGGACACCAAAGTAAAATTATGTGTACTGTGAATTTTATTGGATATTATCGTTTTATTTTAGGTCGTTTCTATTCAGACCTACTGGAAATTGTGTATAGTAAGTTAGTTGTATTGTGGCATTGTGGTGATAATAATCATGGAAGAGGCAGGTATGCTATAGAAGGTAGTATCGTTGACTAGGTCTATACACTTCTCAATTGACTATTACCTTTGACTATTGGATACAGAAGTTGTATAAGATAAAGAAGTCTCTCTCTACTGTATGCTACTTATAATCAGTGTGCGTCTGTGCGAATCGGCTGCAAATCTCACTTCAACGTTTTTCACATCGTAAAAATTGCAGATTGCTGTTTTATTGTAAAATTATCGGATTTCAAATGCATAAAAACATATTTGGTCGCACAACATTTGTTTAAAGATGATTTTTCACATTAAAACTGCAAGAAACTTTGTCTTTTTTAAACTAGCTGATCTGAATTGTACACGGTTTTAACTGACTACTGAATTCCCGTACGTAGGACGGGCTAACACCTCGTTTATAATAAACATTAAAGTAGTTGGGCTAAGCCACAAATTTCGTATCCTCGACAATCACTGATTTCTGTCGCATACTCGAACTTCGAACTCATCAACCACGCCAAGCTTAAAGATATAGTTCGTAACTGATCAAATTTTGCAATAATTACATCATTATCCAACTACAAAATTTCCATACATGTTTTTACGTTAAGCTACCAGATAAAAATAGATTATATGACGCAGACATACCAGAATGTGTATTGAAAAAAAGGTTTACAGCTTTGTTGCCCACTACGATCAGCTGGTTCATAAGCCAAGTACCATATGTTCAAACCAGATGATCAAGTACAGCTGATTTCAGCTTCGACTCTCAAAAAGCTTCAAACTCAGGATTCAACTGACAAACTTCTGGTTACTAGAGGATTATCAATGACTAAACACACACAATCATCAACTTAAATTTAATCTCTGAATTTATTTTGAAATTTCCAAACTTCAAACACAAATTCACATTTCCATTACTATAGCAAACAGTGTGGATGCACTGTTTGTGCAATTCTGAAATAGAAAGCTGAAATGACAGTAGACAAACGTTCCAACTCTCGTCCAATGTCAATTTATTTGCTCTAAATATTCTATTTGCGTATCCGGGACGTCAAACCCGTAAAGCTATATGAGCTTCGAGCTCAACTTTTTATTGCTATATTCATCTTCGTATTTTAGCACAGTGCTAAATTCCTATGCTGTGTTATTTTTAATTATTTGCCTAATGAAAACAGGTTTTATCCTTGTGATTTACTATTAGTGCTTTTTTATCTTTACAGCGTGTGCTGAAGAAGTAAAAGGATACTATAGGATGATTTATAGGATACTGTTACGAGCTGAATGACCCTATAAGCTAATTAGAAGATATCGAAAGCTAACGAAAGCTCCAATCCTAATTATCTAAATTTTTTTCAACTGACGATTCCGAGAAGTTAATGATAAGTTTATTTTTAGCGCAAAAGATTATGTTTTTGTTAACTAATTACATCAATATATTATAGTTAGTCAATATTGTATTTGTAAAATAATCATATCGTTGATTGTGCATTAAATCTGTTCATCACTAACCAATAAAATGTTGAATATTGAATCAACAATTCCAAAAAAGTAGTGTCGTTTGAACCTCAACTGTAAAAACTATAAGATCTAATTCTAATTCTGAACCGTATAAAGACATTTTCTAGTTCTGGCCTATTATTTAGGGATTTTAAAACTATTTATTACTTATGTACAGGAAAACCCCTAATTTAATGTTTATAACATCTAGGCTCGAGATAAAAAGAATATTTTTCGAGTTGATCTCGACTAGCAAGTATTTTTGCCATACAATATCCCTTTTATATTAGTTGTTAAAATCGTCCGGCAAGATAATAACATATATTTATAGCAAGATGGCTCACAATCTTCTCTTTACCACGTCATTAAAATCTTTGAATGAGTCTTGCTTAGAAATTAGTTTTAATAATGGTATTGTTACTACTGTCACTAACTTAACCCTTTAAGTGTGTAGATAAATGTATACGCTAATTTTAAAACTCAATACATTTTCTTAATACCATTTTGAGTATCCCAATGCACAGTGTAAACAACCAAAGATACAGAGTTGGTTATATTTTAATGTGTTAAATTGTGATATGACCTGGTTCGTTATATTGTAATGTAGTTTAAAATAAATTATGAAATTTTGTTAGTTCTCATATTCTATACACGCGTTTTTCTATGATCGCAGAAGAAGATGTTTGAAATATATTATAGTCACAAAATAATACACTCCCTTTTCAACTAAAGGTTGATTTAAGTTAGGCGACCTACACAGGGATGCAGTGTGTTTATTTTACCCCCCCCCCCCCACCCCTCCCCTCACCTTCTATCTAAGCTACAATCTCCCCCTACTGCCCAGCGGTGTGTGGCGGATCCCTTAATAGGTTTTGGAATTGTTTTGAAATACCCTCCCATCAAGGATTCGATTCCAACCATCTCACCCACGATACACAGAAAGTTAAAGTTGTTTAATTTACCTGGAATAGTTTTTTAACAACTTTGTATAATTAATTGGCTACTTACTAATATATTACTTATAACTCATATTCACTGGGACAATTTTCTTGAATTATATCCAGGTAAAACTAACCACTTTCGTTAAAAAGTACTGTTTTTAATTTAAGTTTCAGTAAAACTAAAATGGATTATTCAAACAGTTCTTCTTAATTTAATATCTAACCTTTGAACTCCCTAGTTATTTATTTGTCATAAGTTTTTTAATTACGAGTATTTTCCAATGAAGGCAATATTCTTTTTTGCTTGAGAGGAGTGACTTCTATCTGCTGATTCATGACATTATAACCCATTATTTTGAATTGTTTGGGTATTCATTATAATATGGTCTTACCTTTTGAAAATGTATTATTGTATGATATTTTCAATCATTTTAATCAACAGCAACAATGAACTCACTTTTGAAAATAAAATACATACACGTACATACACTGTATGTTATATTATGGTACTGTTTTAGAACAAACGAACCTTTTTTAATAATTATTCTATATGATAGCTACCATTTAAAAACCATCCAACAAACATTCAAAATCACACTCAAATCTCCCAGCAAACCATTGAACCTTAACATCCTCAAATCTGCTTACAGCAAACTACTTAGCCAATTAGTACGATCACAATTAACGATTACACAGAGTAATAAACAACCACTTACTGTTGGTGTTAGACATGCTGCATGTACCACAAGACTATCAAGACCTTACTCTGCGGTGAACTCGACACAAAGATAAGTTGTAAGGTTATCATGCGCTTTACAAACACTAACTACAAACATTTGTAACGGTTTATCTGTAAGAAGTTTGTGTGGAATATAATCACGCACTTTTACATTGTTGTTGATTTTAGCGAAGTTCCCATGGAATAAGCTATTGCCGTAGGTCTCATGGTAGACTTGGACTCGGGACCGATTTACTTGGTCGTTTTGAGGTTCCCAGAGGACAAAATCACCATCAGTTCAAAATGTTAGGGTGTCCACAAAGTCTTGGTCTGATAAGGAAACCGCATAGTATGACAACGAGTAATATGAGGATAAAGATTTATTTACATATATAACAGGCAACTTCTTTAGAAGATTTTATAACTATGTACAAACGTAACACAACTCTACGTGTGCACCTCAAGTGGCCTGCAGATCTTCTAAACGTATTTTCAGTTTGTCCCAGGTTTTAGTCAGCATATGCTGGGTTACAGACGCCACAGAATTTCTGAATCACTCCAGCAGTTTGTGTAAATTAGGAACCGGGGAAGAAAAGACAGTGTCCTAGACAAATCCCCACAAAAAGAAATCCATGAGGGTTACATCGGGGGAACGAGGTGGCCATTTCGTCGGGCCATCCCGCCCGACCTAGCGTCAGGGGAAGAGAAGATTTTAAAAATCCTTCACAAATTTAGCCCAATGAGGTGGAGCACCATCTTGCTCGAAAATTATCATAGATTGCAGTTCCTATAATTGAGGGACTACACACAACTCCAACATAACCAAGTAAAAACCCAATTCACATTTTCTACCGCGAAGAAAAATTATCCAATGATTTCATCATACATTACACTTCACCAAATATTTAGTTTTGGACTGACACTTTCATTTTCAATCATGAACCTGGGATTTTCACTCCTACAAATTCTACAATTAATGTGTCTGTTAACCTTCCCATTTAAATAAAGGTCGTCAAACTACTATAGGGGATTGGGTTTCGTGAAACAACAAAACACACTGTGATTTCTCTTGTAAACTCACTATTTCTGATTTGTCATTGTATTCAATCTGCTGTGTTTAGGTGTTACCAACGTCATTAAATAAAACTGGATTGAATTTCTTTCAAAACAAGACATACAAATTAAGTGTGGCTCTAATGATTTTCGTACAGCAAAGTTATTAAATAAGACCAAGACTTTATGGACACCCTATGTACGTCCATGAACGCAATAAATAGAGTAATTTTTGTCCGAGTTTGATGAAATTCTTTTGAAGGTGTAAGGGATACACTTGAATGAGTTTGCGAACCAATATGATTGTACAATGGAAACGGCATTTTATGGGGTGTTTTTGGGGGTAAAAATTGGGTTTTCTCATTTTTAGCCCTCAAAACACAACATTTTCCAATTTCTCTCCAAACAATTTTAAAGAGCTTAAAACAGCAAATAATTTTGTGAATGGAAGTGTTTTTGTATGGTTACTAGCTACAGAGAAAATTGAAAAATATAAATTAAAAATTCCTATGTCATTGTTATAAAGGGTAAGAAAACTTTTGTAGTTTGCTTTGGATATATTTTAATCGAACTTAGTAAATATATTAATTTTTATACTAAGCTATCAATATTTTACTAACAAACACACTTTATTACCCTATCTGTAGCAGCGAAGCTAGTTACTCGTTGATCCTGTTATTGAAATCGATTTAATTGAAAATCAAATCAGGCAAATGGAAATTCGTTTAGTCAGCAGGTCTGCCGCGGTGGGGTGTATTTTTAAGTATACAAGGGTGAATAATCTCAGTGTGCCACCATTGGCAGAATAGTAAATCAGTAAGTATGATATTTAGAATCTTAAAGGGAGAGACCGACCAATTTAGTTGAAACAATAAAAATATTCAAAAGTTTTGGGGGTCGTATTACGAAATATTTGTTGAATATGAAAGTTAGCAACTATAACTGGTTCAGATTGTGCGTTTAGTAATAATTTGAAGTATTTTTCTTTAACTACTGTTCTATGAATGGTATATTCAATACGAAGAAGGCTCGCCTTAATTATTTCTCCCCACAGGTCGATGTATACCATCAAGATCCATCAAAAAAAATTTCATTAATTAGCAATATTTTAAATTACAGAATAAAAGTTTTAGAATCAAGAACTTGTAGATCTAACAATCACAAAAGTTTAAGAATCACAACCAGCAGTTGTCTGATTTAAGTATTCAATAGAGTGTTGATTTTATGTATTCTATCAACTCATACACCGTATTTTAAGGGAAACGAATATTTAAAATCGTTCTGAAACTTTTATAAAAAAATTTCATAAGCAGACTATTTTTGAATCAAAATCTGGATGAAACATTTACCTCCCACAAATGTTAACCATATCAAAACTCACAATCCAAAACGATTTCATCAACCGATAACACACGAAACAAACAACTCTTTTCACACATTGCTGCGAACAAAACTAACAAATTGTTGATTTTATCAAACATTATTCCCCTGTCACTGACACCATGGTACAGGGTCCCTGGGGATCGGGATACGCTTTCTAAACTGTTGATTCAGGGATTGTAACAATAACAAATGACAGGTTCCCCGCTATACATCGTACTTGCCTTTTCATAAGCCGGAATTAAAGGATCTACATCTGCATTTCACAAAGCATTGGTAATACAGTCCTCTGTGGATTGTTTTATCTGTTTCATATGATCGAAACAAATCTGACACAAAGGATGAATAATTATGACAGTTAAAATATGTATTTTGAATAATGTATTGATGAAAGAACGCGAATATTAACAGAGTGTTTGATGTTTTTGATGGATTATGTATTTATATGCAAATTTGTGTTGGGAATACTGGTATTGTTTGTGTAAACGAGCTTTTTTACATTGATAAAACTCTCTTAGCTATTATTTATGCGTCTCAGAGCTGAAATGCTCTTTCAAATTTAGGTTTTTAGTTGTTAAAATTAAATTTGTATGTTTATCTTTGACGTTAGGTACACAAATATTCCACTACCATATACGTTTTTGACCATTTTTAGACTAATATGATATTTATTGTTCGTACACTAAATTGTTGCCACACCGAAAAGAAATTATTGTACACCATTGTAACTTAATGTCAGAAGTAATTTAATAAACCTAAATAGAGGAGGGAACTGTAATAGATGCACACATTAGGTCTACTTCAGTTTATAAAGTCAACGGTTGCACCCTTTGTTAAGTTAAAAGTCACGAGTTTATTAATGCATATGTATATCATACATTGTCAGAATATAGACGTACAGCACGTATTTATTTTTCGTTTTCGTCTTTAAGTAAAGTTCAAAATCAGCACCTGAAATCTTGTTGGTAATGATCACAGGTCGAAAAATCATTTGGACAGCGTGATGAACTATTAAGTTATAGTGCTCAATTCTTCGAGGTAACTAACTCACAATATATATTACATTGTAAAAAAATTAATGTTTAATGGAGGGATTTGAGACCAGGACTTTGCCCCGTCGCCTTACCACTAGACCAGACCCTCTCTTACTTTGAAATCTAGGTCTACGCAAACAAACTAAAGATTGCAATTTTATGTAAAAAAAATTTTAATTTTTTTTTTACCACCGTATGCATTGGATGTTAACTACTAGCTGCAAAAATCCTGAATTTAATTCATTACCGCTTCCAAAGTTTAAGTCAATGATGGGATTCGAACCCATAACCTCTGGCCCGAAGCCACTACCTCTATACCTCCCCTGATTATCCCCACATGACGTAAAACATTCAATGTTTACATCCTATTGATTATAACTGAGAAGTTTGGCATGAATGAACCTCTAGAGGTCCACTGTAGTTCACGGCGACATTGCGTCAGCCGCTATATACTTAGCTAGACTCGCCGAGCGGGCATTACCGTAGCGGCTGCGGCGTGTAGCGCATAGCGTATAGCGTATAGTGGAGCGTATACGTAGCGTAGAGTGGACAGTGAAGTGTGAGTGATAGCGATGGAGGAGAGGAAAATTGAAATAGTCAATGGTGCGAGCAAAAGGGAGGAATACGAGAAAAAACAAGGTTTGGAATTTGCTATTTAATACTGTGTATTTGTGCGTATTTGTAAGTGGTAAGGAAAATTTAGAATGCATTTGCAAAGTTTATAAATGGTTTTACTACAAGAGTCTTATCATAGTTTTGTTAAAACTATTGGTGAAATTAATTTGCAGCAGTAAATGGAATATTTGTCAATTTTAAGAAGATAACTTACATTGATTATGCATTGACAAAGTTTTGGGATAGTACGAGTAGATATTAACCTCTGGAAAGTCTAAAACGTGTGTTGATGTGTGTTATGAGTTCGGTTACCATAGATGTTGATAATAGCAGTTAAAATTACTGTCTCTTATTTCAGGGTGAATTTAAAAAGTGCACTTTTCTCTTTGCTTGTAATACCAGGGGATAGGTTGTAAACCAATAGATGGACTTTTTAATGAACACTTAATTAAACAACGGTCCATTCATAAAAATTCAAAAATCAATGAAAGAGTCTGTTATTCAATGGTAGTTTATGTAAGTAAAGCAACACACATTGGCATGACCCAGAAAAATTAACTCATGTCCTACACCTTAAATACAAAATTTGTTTTCGGCATTTGATTGTTATTCACAATAAATTTCAAGGTAAACAGAATTTACTATTTATGGTTTGAAGTAAACATTCTAAATACTAAAAACACTTTTTTCGTTTGCTTTCAACAGGAAGCTACTAAGCCATGCACAAACATAGTAGAATTTTAATTTGAAAACTCTATTTGAGAAACTAGTTACACAGTTTCAAGTACCAAAGTACACTTGCAGAAAGTGATTAAATATTGCGTTTAAAACCAACTTGTTTGGACAACTTGTTAGCGTAGCAAATATTTAATTACATCAACCATCAGAAATCAAAACAAATTATTTTGGTTTAAGATTTATTTAAAAACACTCGTTACCGAACTATTTGTTGGATTAGCATTATTTTCGCGT